ATATCCCTCCTTGTTTTTCCTGTCCTCATTCAAGTTGCTTTCACCAGCTAACCCACAGGAGTCAGAGGTTGAATCCTCAGAATTCCTCCATGCCTGTACACAGAAGGTGAACAATCCATCCTTCTCTTTATTTTCCCTACTCTTTTCAACTTTTAAAAGAATCGAAAGAAAAATTTTCTCAATAATAAGCAATGTTATAATTGCTACTTTATTAAATTTCCACCGTATGTCATACATTACAATAAGGACTTTTTGCATTATCTCCAATCTTCACAACCGTCCTCACAGATGCCAAATCTATGAAGAACTGGCTCTTTGATTTACTATATAGCATAAAGCTCTAACCTGTAAGTGAGTGATTACAGTGGGAGGGAGGAAAGGAGGAACCAGGAAGGATAGTTAAGATAGTATTTGTCATTAATCACAAAGGAGAACAGGGATTCAAACTCAAATGTAATTTACATTAATAATCCATGTTGCCACTCTAGCTGCTTGACTCTAAAAAGCCAAAAAGAGGGACCAGCAGTTAGCGTAATGGCTATTTCGCTAGACTCCCACGTAGTCGACCACGGTTTGAGTCCCAGACCCGGTGACTTAAACTCACGCCGGGCGCGTGTGCGTGCGTACCCAAGATCCCAGGAGGAGAATGGAGGAGAAGGGATTGTGGCATGGCCATCCCCCCTGGGGGGTGATTTCTCGCTTTCTGTCTCTCTTTCTCTCTCTCTCTGTCTGGCGAGCGCACGCGCCCTATAGCAAAAACCTCTGCAAAAAAAAAGAAAAGCCAAAAAGAGAGAACTGACCAACTTAACTCTTGATGTGACAGTAAAATGTGTTAGCTATCTATGATACATTCAATTTCTATATCATCATGTCCTAATTTCCTAGAGCCCATTTTTATTCTATAATTTATTTTTTTAGAAATAATGTAAATATTCAATATTAAGATATTATACATTGTGATCCCTTTATATTATTATTTTAAGAAATAACTAAATGGTTAAAATATTTTATAAATATTAAATTCCATTAATGAACCCTGCCAAAACATTATGATTAGAAATAAGACATTTTGAACTGACTCTGAGGTACAGGAGTAAAGTGCTCAAGAGAAGCTGGATCCCACATGGCAACTGCAGCTCAAATCACAGCCTGGTCAGCTCTGGGCATGCACCCAAGTGCTCAAGCACCCAAGATCCAAAGGGGCGAAGGACTGGAAAAGGGGGATTACGGCCTGATCAGACCCTGTGGGAGGTGTCCCTCTCTCTCACATATGCATGTGTTCTATCATAAATAAAGGGTAAAAAAAAGAAAAGCAAAAAAGTCTTTTGTTATTACAAAATTAACAAGTAAAGTATTCTTCCCTACTAATAATTGTAAATTTTAAGGATTTTCTCTTACCCGTGAACTGTGTACACCTTTCCTGGCAGCAATTTCTTAGAATGGTGTTTTCAGTTGACATAGTCATTTCCAGTAGTTTTGCTATTCACTTTCAGGAAACATGTTCAGGAAGCAGAAACTAAATCACGTTCGAAATCTGTTTCTAGTGCATTAAATCACATTATAAAACTGATTAGGTACCTAAATACATTGTAATGAAAAGGGACCTGAAGTCAAAGGAAAAAATTAAATGAGTATATTCTTTATTCTATTATTAGTTTTGAATCTTGTAACTAAATATCTGTTTTTATTTTAAAAGTATAAGACAGCATAACTTGCCCTAGCTTCCCAATATTCACACACAAAAACATAATGATATAATTTTGTTCATAGGAGAGTTTAAGACATAAACTTGCCCACTGCCTAATTTCACTTTCTAAAACTTATGGATTGAGCTATGCTAGTAATTGTGTATTAGACAGCACAATGGTTCCATTCATACATAATGACTCAGTCAATTCAATTCAACAAAAATGTATTGAGTATCACATACAAGGCACTACTAAGCTCTAAAGAAGGATAAAAAGATGAGTAAGATCCTGAAAGAGACACAGTAGCAACTAACAGATAAAGCAAGGAAAGTAAGATCAATACCACAATAAAGGTTTAAAGTACTATGTAATCACAGTAAGGAAGCAATTAATTCCAATACAGTACATACATAATGGAAAAGTTGGAAAAGTAACTTTAAATAGGTACATTCTACATATCCTAGGTGTTTATTTACATAGACTATTTTATTCAATGTAAGCAAGTTGACAGGTATTATAAACTATTAGCTTAGTTTTCAAAAGTACTTTTTTTTTTTTTTTTTCAAAAACTGTGACATAGCATGCCTAAAATTCAAGTAAATAGTAGAGATCCAGTCCCCAAATAAATAAAATTAGAGGGGCTGGCAAGTGGCATGGTGGTTAAAGGTGCTGGACTCCCACATGGCTGACCACAGTTCAAGTCTCGACTTGGTGGCTTGCTTTCTCACTTCCACTCTTTCTCTCTGTCTCTCTCTGATCAGACTGGAAAATAATAATGATAATAATAATAAATAAAGTTCAATAAAAATAATTCTTTAAAATAAATAAATAAGTAAATAAATAAATAAAATTAGAATTTGTTGGCCACTAACAGTCGAGATTCATCCCATGGGAAAACAGAATGATGCAAAGCCAAGGCACCCATTATACCTAGCCCAGCGCTGAGTACAGCTGCTCAGCACAGGCTCCTCTCCTGTCTCAGTGGATCCAGCCAGAGAATTCTATCTTCTTTGCAGCTGAGTCAAGTGCTGGGGAGTCACCCTGCAGAATTACTTAGCAATGTGGTAGCTGTTATGGGTTTGCATAGCCTGTTTTCTCAGAAGTTGTCTTCCCCATCCTGTCTCCATTACATGGTGACTAACATTTTTAAGGTCCAAACATGGATATTGCTTCCTCTGGGACATCTCTGAGGCCCCACCCTTACCCCCATATACCCTTATCCCTAGTCTAAATTAAGGGTCCCTGATATTCAGTTCTTTAATTATACTGTATACTAATTCCATCATAGCACAGTTGAAACTATATCTTTACTTGTGTTTTTCCCCCACAAGTCTGCCATTACTTTGCAGGCAGGAATTGTGTCTTGTTCAGCCATTAGCACAGCAATGTCACACTACAGGGACCTATTACGGGTTGAAATATGTCCCCCACAAAAAGATACATTGAATTCCCAACCTTCAGTACCTCCAAATGTGACCTTATTTGAAAATAGGGTCTTTGCAAATTAAATTGGTTAAGATGAGGTGGGGCTCTAATCCAATATGCCTGGAGTCCTCCTAATAAGATGGCCCTCTGAAGACTGAGACAAAAGCAAAGTCAGAGACTGAAGTTATGTCCGCCAAGAAATGCCACAGATTACCAGCCAACTAGCAGAAACCAGAAAGAGGCAAAGAAACTCTATAGGTTTTAGTGGGATCATGGCCCTACCAACATCTTCTTGGACTTCTGGCCTCCACGCTGTGAGACAATAAATATTGTTTTAAGTCATGAAATTTATGGCACTTTGTTACAGTAGCCCTAGGAAAATGGTCAGTGATCAATACAGTTGAATAGATAGATTCATTTTTACCTGGCTGTGACAAATATGTGTCTTAGACTAGCTTTTTTCATTCTTCTAGCCTTAATCTAAACTATTGTATTTTATTTGACTATTTGAAGCTACACATTTTATTTTTCAGATTCTTGAGATTTTATTTTCTTCTGAAAAAATTTGGCTGTGATTTTCTGCCTAGTTATCTTCAAAACTGAATATAGGTGGATTCTATTTTTAAAAATTGTAACCATATGTGTCTATTTTTATTGTTCATATATTGGTAAATCTTCATGTCTATACTAAATTTATCTGGAAAAAAGTCTTGCTATCTAAGATACAGAAAGAAGACATGAAAGAATAAGGCTTTGTTTCCATATGCAAATAACTAAGAAGAGCCCTTTTTACCGTGAATTTACATACTATTCCTGTATTTTGCTACCCATTAGTGGCACTTTAGTATGGTGGTCAATAGCTTGCACTTGGTTGTCAAATAGAGCTGCGGTCAAATCCAGTTCTACTAGTTAAAAAGCTTGGGTAAGTCATTTAAACTTCAGTTTCCTCATCTGTAAAAGGGAGTAGTACTGGGGCCAGCAGGTGGCATGGTGGTTAAGGCACTGGACTCCTACATGACTGACCACAGTTTGAGTCTCGGACCTGGCAGCTTGCTTTCTCACTTTCTGTCTCTCTCTCACACACACACTCGGTGTCTCTCTCTGGTCAAATTAAAAAATTATAATGATATGTAAAATTGAATAAATACTTCTTTAAAAATATAGAGTAGTACAGGGGACTTTAAAAAGTTCCTGGGAAGGGACCAGCAATTAGCGTAATGGCTATGTCGCTGGACTCCCACATAGTTGACTGTAGTTCTAGTCTCAGACACAGTGGCTTAAACACACCGGGCGCGTGTGCGTGCATGCCCAAGATCCCCAGAGGAAATGAAGGAGAAGGGATTGCGGCATGGCCATCCCCCCTGGGGGGTGATTTCTCACTTTCTGTCTCTCTGTCTCTCTCTGGCTGGCTGGCGAGCACACGTGCCCTATAGCAAAAACCTCTCCAAAAAAAAAGTTCCTGGGAAAAAAATGGAATTAAAGTATAAATTTATTTCAGTGCAAAATAAATGGAACCCATGCATAGTTTTTTTAATAATACACATTCCCATAAATTTTTGAAAATCCTCATAGTAATGTCAAATTTCTGAGTTACTATAAGAAAACAATGCCATAAAGCTCTTAGTATAGTTCATAAAGTTTTCATAAAAATTAGTATTATTAGATGAGCAAAAGAAAACCCTCCATTTAGAACCAAAACCAAATTGTTTTATAAAGGAATATTCCCTGGAGTAAAAACTGGATTGGGTACAAATGAAAACAGTATAAATCTATCATGAAAAAGATATCTTAAAATTCTGTTAATACAGGAGGAAAATAGATGAATTCTAACTTCAACAGGCACAGGTTGAATCAAAAGATTCACTCACTTTTCCCCCCTTTAAACAGGCTAAAAGAAGACAGGAGATTCTTCAGCTTTTAAGAGAACAAAGAGAAGAAAGGATCTCGGTGAGCCCCATCGTGAGGCACATGTATAAATCAGACGGGCGAACTGTGGCAAACTCTCAGCAGTCTTACAGACCGAGTCTTAAGTCTACTCTCGACATGTAGACCTTCTATATGCTGTAGGAGGGCAGGGTATAGACACCAGATATTTTGACAATCCTTGATAAACCAAGTTATCTCCAGAATTTGTAAGTTTGTAGCTTTGCTGACATCAGAAATAAGGTATTGTTATCAATTGAGCTTATTGTTTACATATTATAAAACTGTAAAATATTAACATAGGCTACTTCAGTAGTAATAATTGTTCTACAATGACTGATCTTGTCTATATCATGCCAAAAAAATTCTAACTGAGGAAAAAACTATAATTAAAATATAGCACCCTATAAGCGAACACATATACTTACCACAAATTTCCTAATCTGGAATATTTCTGACCCCACAGATTACAGATTTAAGAAGCTAGATTTTGCATATTCTTTGATGATTCTTACTCTAGATTTTATCAAAAGAGTAAAATTTAGACAGTATAGGAAGTAAATTTTTCCTTTTTGATTTTTGTTTTGTTTTGTCTTTTTTAGAAAGAACTGATTTCCTTTCCTTATAAACCAAAGGCCAAATTATACAGAGCAAAGTAAGTTCACTTCTGTCAAAAATATTCTCACCTTTTTGCTTATTGTGTAGAGAAGAACTTTTTTTTTATACTGCCCTTACTCTCAAGACTTAAAAAAAAAAAAAAAAAATCCACCCCACTCTATTAGAGATTTATTTCCTTGAATAAACTTTCTTCTCCTGACAGATATTAGGGCCCTTGTATCCACTTGTATATCTACGAAATATGCAAGCATATGTTGGTGCAAACTGGGGAGTAGATGGGCTTCAAATCTCTGTGCATTCCCGTTCTGTTCCTTCCCATCCTGGGCTATTGTATTCACCTGCCATCATGTCCTCCCAGCTCCAAACCTACAATCTTTGGTGAATCACTGGATCTTACAGATCACCCCTTCTGATCCTACCAGTGGCATATCCAAGGTTACTAAAATTAAGTTCATGAAGCAAAGTCTATAGCCGCTCAGTGATTAGTTAATAGCCTTATCCCTGGAATAATGTAAGAACAAACTAAACATGTGCTCTGGAACAGTTAATTATTAAAGCACCCCTAATAAGAAATATCTCCATATTTGTTATTACGACTGAAAACCAATATTGCTGCCTCAACATTAGACAAATATGTATTTTCATAATTCATTCAGTAAAGGTTAGTAATACAATTTTTATTCTTATTTCATTTTTACTGAGGATGATTCCCTTTAATGTCATCAAAGAAATACTCATAAAGAAGAATGAATATGTCTATACTAATTTTAAACACTTCCCAAAAAAATGAAAAGATCATTTAATAACCTGGCTATATTATCTACATAATGTTCAGCAATTTAATTTCTTTCTTTTCAGCCAGATTATTTTACTTAGTTTTTAAGTGTAGAGCAAAATTAGCCCAATTTAAAGATTAACTTAACAGAAGCAAATAATGGATCAAGACTGCTACTTGACTAGCATCAAGATATATGTCTGGGTGTGTTTGTTTTCTGTGCATATTTTTACAGAATATTCCTGCCACTGCTCATTTTAGTCCACCTAAGAGAAGAACATTATTTTACAGCTTGAACAAATAATTATCTTATTAATTTAAATACTGCCTACATTTTGAGGTTCAGAAAATATTTAACAAAAAAATCTAGCTCAAAAATATCATATAAAATTCATCATTAGGTAGAGAAAGTCATGTTTTATACTATACTTAATTTACATTTTTTAATTTTGTAAATATTTTAGACACAACTGTAAAATACTTAAACTTTGTTTTCTGTTTCCTCTGTCTATCCTTTCTTCTCTGCCCAGAACTCCCCCACCTATACAAGTGTCTCCAACCTTCATTTAACAGATTGTTTTAGGATAATCTGGGTCCTCTTCTATCAGAAAGAACTTGAAAGTGTGTTCATAGTAACTTAGTAGCAATATATTTATTATCCACCCTAGGAATATTTACATATTAAAGAGGCTGAATAGAAGGCTAACTCAAAGAAATGATGAAATGATCTCAAGGCTTTAACTCTTGGGGAGGGGGATAAAATATATTTAGGTAGGAGGGCTTTTTTCATCCTTTTCAAGTCACACTTTACAGTATAATAACTACTTCTCCTATAAACAAGTTTATACTTGGTTATAAAACCTAATGCATATTTAGAATCCACAGCAGTGAGTTTTTATTGGAAAGTTTCAGAAGTTGTTCTCATGCTGTGTGGTGTTCAAATGACAGTTCTGTGTTTTAGAACTGATGCTTATTACTACCAACAGGAAAATGATATCAGAGTCAGATAAAGAAGACAGAGAAGAAGTCAAAGCGTTGGATTAATTTGATTGACAACATGGTGGAAGATGGTTTACTTCTATCTTCACTGAAAGAACCTACTCTTATATCAGGATATTGGAGTCGCTGACAAAGTGAAAGTAGAGAAAGAATAAAAGTTAAGTTTGTAGATTTCTAGGATTTTACCATTTATTGAATATGTGTGTCAAAATGGACATGCAAATAAAAGTCAAATATGCAGGTGTCTATAAATTTTACTAGTTATTGAATACTTGTGTCTCTAACTTACTAGATATTGTGCTTTAGCACCACACCACAATTACATCTCTCTCATCTTATACATTCTCATAATCCTCTGTCTGGTTTTACCTGGAAGGTATTTTCAGAATTTCTATGTTTGATCTATATTATGAATATCAGATACAACATTATGTGTCCCAACTTGTAGACCACCAGTAAAATCAGTTAATAAGGAAATAGGGATGAAAGGGCAGTCCTAAAAACTTAACGTCTTTATGCTTAAAAAAAAAGTATCTTTTCAAGATTTGGATTATTCTGTTGGGTTGTCAGAAAAGTCATGATGCATTTTTGCATAGAAAAATATAGAAAGTATGTCATGACTTTTCCAATGACTCGATATTTCTGGAACAAGTCTGAAGTCAGAAATGGATTGTTTCTAGTTCCATGAATAAATGGCTTAGCATGACTATGTTCTCCACATTTGTACATAATCCCAGTGCCAACCTTCCTCACTTCCTAGGGACAATCTCTTTAGTATTTACTGGAAAAAAGAAGGTTAAGGATTTGTCCCTCCTGCATTGTCAAATGCCAGTCTTACTGCGGCTCATACACTCACTCT